TTATTCTTACTTCTAACTATTTTTGAGTTGGAATACAAACTCTGTGTAGTAGCTCTACTGTAAATGACAAAACACATTCCTGAATGAATGCTTCTACAATCCTGTCTCATGTTGGCTTCTTGAGGCTCACCTGCCTATTTCCCTCTCAGTTCTTTCTCAGCTGCTCCTCACTGCTTTCCCTGCATGTTTTTCCAACAAGCAGTACTGCACACAGACAGGACCAGCAATTGTTGTCAGAAAGCAACAGACCACACCAGCAATAACTACCAAACCAATATTTCTCATATTCAAAATTTGTGTTTGTATTTCTTACAGAATAATGCATCATTTACACCATGCTGCACCAAATGAGAACTGTCCACAAAGCACACTAACCCAGAGGAAATTAATTCTGACAATTTTTTTGAAATTTATAAAATGTTCATTTTTATTCTTAATAGGTATTGCTATTTTGACAGCAGCAAACATAGAAGTGAAGGATGACTTAATTTCTCATTCAACGGCTAAGCAAGCCAAAGAAAACAAAAATGTTTTTTCAAACCAGAAGGGGAAAAAATAAATTAAAATAAAAAAAGAAATCAAGATCGCCCTGTGAAGGGCTTTGAACTACAGCTTTGCAATTACACTCTTCAGAGTCAAGGCTGGTACAAGACAGTTTGTCATTCTGGCACCACATCAAACTTTCTGCCAACTACTTCAAGTGTCAGTTGCTTGCACACAAGGTTTCATTGCTGCAACAACCGAAAAAAACCCAACCCTGCAGAGATGATGAAATAAGCCTTCAGGCAGGACAAAATACAACCACTGATCTGTGTCTTCTAGGAGACATACCTGACTCCTCATGTTTCCTCCCGGTAGCAGTGCTTCCTTGGGACTGCGTCCAGGCTAAAAAGCCTGGCAGAACTCTAGTAAGTTCGTGCTGTGCTCAGTTCTGTGCCTCATTCTTCAAGCTGCTCTAGGCTGAAGAATTCTACATTCAGAACTTCACACACACAAAATACACTACCAGAGCTCCAGTGGATGTTTTCAAAAAGAAAAAACACAATGGTCAAAATCTATTGGAAGTTTTTTTTTTTCCTACACACAGACACAGATAGCCCATTCTACTGGCTAATTATGCAATTATTTACATCTGTAATGACGCAGATTTCTCTCATCATACAAACTCTCATCCAAGAGACACTGTCAAATTCCAGTATTCTCAGCTATTTGCCATCACTTCTCCCCGGGTCATCTCAGTTGTCAGCCCTGAAGAAAAGGTACTACAGCATTATGGTGGATCCACTCTGCAGCGACCGTAATTTGTCAGAAAGCCTGGCAAACCACATGCAAATTCACCAGAACTCCAAAGTTGCTACAAACACTTCTGTTTAATTTTTCCTACCCTGTCTTTACTTCTAGAGGGCTATGTCATGCACACAGTTTGGCTGCAAGATCTTAAGCTCTCCCTGCAGATCACATGAGATTCAAATAATGAATTTTTTTTAAAAAAAGTATAATTTAGCCAAACACAAAATTATAGCCAACATTCAGTTACTAGTTAACTCTGAAAACAAACATTTCAAAGCAGCAGCTCATCAGTTAAGCAGGAATCTCAGCTGTGGTATGCTTTTCATTCCTCTATTTTTTCTTGCTAGTCTCCTTGCAGAATAGGCTCCCTTTGAGCTCTGAAGCATAAAGGAAATGGAAATTTCCACTGACAGGTTCTCCAGCTTTTGCATTTTTGCATAATATTGATAGTGCTGCACAACACAGAAAAGTGACTGTTCTTTCATCTTACCGTAACAGACCTGCCTCTTTACAACACGCCCAAGCAAGGTTCTTTTCTGGCCTCACATCTCCGTGGTTCTTTCATGTTTACCTCAGGAAAATGTGAAAGTGGTTGGCAAGTCTCTAATTAGGATCAAAACAAAGCTCTATGCCCCAAATGACTAAAAATATATATTTAAAAAAAAATCTAGTAAATTTGCATAGCTCTTAGATGCTTGAATATACTGATCCACATTTTCATTCCAACCAGGGATAGTGGACAACAGACAATATCCACGACACATTAGAAAAAAGTCTAATTTTAATAAAGTATTAAAGGAAACAACCCTGTGTTGGACAATAGCAGCTGATGGCCTGGTACTTTCTAATATGTAGGAATATTTGAAAGCAAATGGTTTCAAATGCTTCCTAGGAAGTTTGTGCAAGTGCTGTGTTTAAAGAAAGACTTCTTCCTAAATTTAAGACTATTAAATTCTTTCAAGCACTGTAACAGCCTCTTCTTCTCACACAGCTTCTAAAAACAAAGTTTGAGACTTTCCACAAGGGAAATACCCATTATAAAGTCATACATATTTTTAAAAGCATGTATATTAATAAATTTATACATAAGAAGTAACTTTCTCCTAAAGCATTACGAAGTATGAAAGTCTGTTGTTCAGAAAGCAACTCCTGTGATAACTTTGTCACATACAGAGGCCGCAAAATTACCAAAATAACCATCAAAACACAGGAAAGTACTAAATATTGAAAGAGGTAAATAATGTACGAAGATACATCTAAATTGTAAAGAATAAAATGCCAAAATAAGCCAAAAAAAATTCAGCCACAACTCTACATTCTTAAATTTCTTACTAACTTTGCCAAAGTAATCTCCCACTCTGTACATGCAACAGCAGACTACAGCTATCTGAATAACGAAGATACTCCCACACTCTCTCTCTCCGAGTACAGTCCTATCAGACAAACGATTATTAAAATCAGTAAGCAATATCCGGAAGAAAGATGGTCTCATCAGTTAATGGAAGCCAGAAGCTTCCAGTTCTTTTCTCACTTCTGTTCGAGATTTTTGGTGTAATGATGGAAGAAGCACGTCATCTTCAGGACATAACTAAAAGAATCAGACTTGCGAGAGCATGACAATTTACTTCTACCGCTACTGATCTGGCAATATGAACTAAAGCAAAAACATTTGCAGTGTATTCCATTTGCCCTTCAGGTTGAACTCTGACCACGTCATGTTGCTCCACGCTGTTTAGGTAGCACGTTCAGAGTGTGACCATTGTCCTAAAAACCAAAATACTTAAAAAAAACCCAACCAAACAAAAACAAAAACAAACAAACCAGCCAAACAAAAACAAACACAAACACACCACAACCAGCTGGGAGTTTTAAGCCCTCTTTTCTCTAAAGATCTCTAACAGAGTACTATGCAGAGACACATAGTGCTACACTCAGAGCAGCAATTCTTGTCACTCAAATTCCAAAAGTAGTCAGAGTGACTGAAAGGACCTACCAGTTACACACCGATACCTACTGCATTATGTGGGGGGAAAGGCAGAGAGCTGCATCTAGGCTTCTGTACTATGCATGTTCAACATATTGCCAAAGTGTTCTGGCTGGCAGTAAAAGCGTGCCACAGGACTCAACAACGGAACAAAAAGTACAGACACACAGAACCAAGGGTATGCGAAGTCATTAAACTGACTCTTCCAGAGATACAACTTCAGCTCAGTCATGGACACCATGCATACCATTCTGTGGTCTCTTCATAGAAAGTCTTGGTCAAACTTACTTTGAACATAAGCTAGATCTAGTACTCACTGTGAAACCACTCGCATCACACCAGCAAAACCATCATGTATTTTATGCGACACTGATGCACTTACACACACTTGTTACCATGTTCTTGTACATCCTACTAGCATATACAGAACTGCATGGTATAAAAAGATGGTCTCCAATTGCTGTTATCATCTGTCAGGCTGTTGCGATGCTCATTTAACGACCCAGATGGCAACAGAAACAGAGACTTATCTTCTCTCTGCAGCTGCTGCTTTTCAGCTTGCCACAAAGATAAGTGGTGACAATACTGGCAGAATGAAAACAAAAGGAGCAAAGGCAAGACAACCCAGTAATGTTCCAGTAGGTTCACTGGTTTTGTGTTGCAAGCCACCTGGATCTCCCCCACCTACAGTTACCAGTCACAGTTCTCAGACCATCTAATCTATCTACCAAGTACTCTTAGGAAGAGTTCCTCAGCAGATCATGCATCCCCAGGGTACAAAGGGTCATCTAATTCCACATTCCAGTCTCATTTTAGAGAAGTCATTTAGGCTTATGAACAGGTATTGCAAATGTGCAAATTAAAACATTAATAAATTACTTAAAAACAAACTAAAAAAAAAAATCACACAAAAGCTTAAAAAACTCTGGGACTTGTCTCCAACAGTACTTACAAAATTACTGTTATAAAAACAGAACACAGACACATATGTATCTGTACTGTCCAAAGAAGCTGATACATTGTCCTTGAAGCCGATAGATCTTTTCCTAGAGTGACTTAACATGTTGATTTTGTGACCTGTGTTTATTGAACCCAATCTGAAAGTTTAATTCATCATACAGCACGGAAATAAGAGACTTGTACAAAAGGAATATGCACTGCCAGCAGATCTCTTTCTAAAACTCCTCATATTCGAGAACACATTAAAGCACTGCCAGTCAATGTTTAATAGTTATGTGTGTAAGCAATTCAAAACACCCAATTTTCACAGAAAGCATGTAATTTTTTTACACTACTACCTGATGATTGTATTAATCTGTGTAAGAAAATATAAGCAGCACAGCTGTCCTAATATAAAAAACACAGTTTAAGAAAGAACAACAGGCTACTGTAAATACAGCATCTGTCAAAGTTAAATAACTACAGGCTGCATTTTTATCCAGTTCATCCACAAACAGTAATTGCTGGCATTAGCAGGAAGTTTTTCCTTCCAAAGAGAATCTACCAGAAGACAATTTTAGTTCTATTTAATGTAGATTAATCTGGCTACATTTCAAAGCTCATTCTGTTGTTCAAAATGCATTCAAAATAAATATAAGTAAAATGCGTAATTTACTCAGCATAAAGAACACTCATACACAATCTTAAACAACAGTAAAGTTCAAAGACCAAACTTAAAACAGATTGGCAGCTATTTTTAACAGAGTGAGGATCTGTATGAACTTACAGTAAGATTCCAGTTGATCTGCGGTATTCTTGTGTGAAGATTCAGACTGAACATAAGCAACAGAACTCCAGTAACCACCAATGCACTACAGCTCACAAACTCAAAGAAATAAAGGCCTTCGCAAGGGGAGCATTCCATGATGGTCTCTATGCAGATGAATGCAATCAGTGCCAAAACCTAGGAAGAAAAACAAGTGGAAAAAAAATAAATAGATTTCCACATTTTGAAAGTAGCCACAAGTATTCCTGAAATTTCCATTGGGAACATGATCAGTTTACACTCAGGAATGTGTGATTTTAGTTTATAACAGGGCACTGTCTAAAGAGTAAAAACAAAAGCAAATTAATGCAAGACTTTCTGGGTATCCCCTGTTCAACAAGCCATTGGCTTAATATGCAAACGGCACCTCAAACATTTTATTTCATTTTTCACTCATGATATGCTATTTCAAAACTTGAAGACGGAATGCATTTGTCTATCGGGTCAACCTCAAGCTCAGTTATATAGTATTAATATTGTGAAAGACATTTTAATAAAGTTATTATTTAAAATTCACTACCAAGTTGAGATCTAAATCAATTCAAAATAGAATAGATTCGGGATCTCTACCAGCCTCCAAAAATGCCTGCCTTTTTCATGGTTTTTATCATCAATATGCTGTATTTTATATAAAAACATATTGTATCATTCCCTTATAAGACAATAAAATGAGCAACTAATAGATGAAGGAAATACTCCTGGTGCTGCAAACACATACATCTAACAGGGATAATGGTTAGTCACACCAAATTCAGAAAACATCTTGGTAGAGTTAACACACATGCAGGCTTTTGCAAGACGAGAGTTTAATTTACTATTTAGGATAAAACAGTGAAACACTATACTTTAAAAAAATCTGCCCAATGCACAAAACTAAAATATATAAAAACCATACACCAATATTGGCTATCACTGATAGCTACCACTTAGATACCATTAAATATCACTGATTAGCTATCACATAGTGTACAACTTACATATGTAAGTCTATGTTTCAAACTGATTCCTCTTTAAATATAACTGGTAAAAGAAGAACAGTTGCATGGATAGTTTTGTTCTGTTGGTGGGTTTTTGTTTGGTTGGGTTTTTGCTGGTTTTTTTTGTTTTGTTTTATTTTTTATTTTTACTTTCCATGGCAAGCAAGGAAGGTCTTAAGAGTGCTTTGCTTTGGTTTTCCAGGCTACCATCCCCCTACCCTCCCCTTATATTTTTCAGAAAGAATTTGCTTCGCTCTGCTGCAAAATTCTAATGAGACCATAGGAAGTCAGTACAATTTGAAGATTAAGAACTCGGGGAGATAGCCTCCTCAGAGCTAAATATTCCATAATTTGAAGGTTTTGCACAAACAAAACTTAGGTTTAAAAGATTGACAGAAACCACAATACATTTTCTGCTAAATCCTTCTTTGCCGATTTCAATAATGTTTTGCAGATACACTTTCTTCCAGCACTTTTTAGGCTTCATCGATTAACTTGCCTTTGCCTTCTACAACAAAGATAGCAAAATGAAGAAAAAGGATTTTGAAAGAAGTTTTTGTCATTAACATCAGCAGTAATTCTAAGTAAAGGACAATACCACTCATGCTTCATTTGCCACATACTTCAGAATTCAGTAGCTAATTTAAGTTTAAAAATGGATTAAAACAAAGCAAAACAGTTTTAATCAAAAAAACCTCTCACTTGGGTAGAAAGTCTGTCACAGTTCACTTAGCATACTTTCTTTAAGAGAGTACATGCCACACTAATTTTTGCCAGCTAATAGAGCAGGCCAATTCACATCAAACAAATTCTGAATGGATACCCAGTGACTAAACACTTAACTTCAGATTTTATCTTTGACCTTGAATAGCTTTGGAAAAAAAGAAAGAAAGAATATGCAGTGAAGTGGATCATTCAGAAAACCAGAATCAAAGTCAAACTATGATTTCAGCAATCACACACACAAAATACTGTCCAGAACAAAGCTTCCTTTTGCAGTATTAGCAAGTAATGAAGTCCTTTTCTGTGAACACAAGCCTCATAACTGAAGATAACATTGAATACATTTTTAAAAAAAGAAAAAGGAACGTTCTAAAAAAAAAAAAAAAACCACAACACTTCGCTGTTTCAACCAGGATCAATATCAAGTATTAGCACTAAATGTTAGCTGGCAAAACTTAAACTTTTAGATGTTCCAATACAATAAAGTCTCCATTGTTCTTGCCACTATTTTTGATATATTATGACACTTCTAAAATTTTTATTCTTTTAAAACAAATAGTTCTGCAATATTCTCTAGAAATACTGTAGTACAAGCTCAAACAACATTAGGTTCATTTTCTAAAAATATGAACAGTTCTGAATTGTGCCACCAACATCAGGCTGAAGGAGCCAAAAACTCTTGCACACCAATCGCTACACTGGGCAACTGCTACTTGGCATATGGAGTCTCTGTTGTTTTGCCAATAAAAAAAATAATCTTACACTGACTCTTCTCCATACCACATAGCATTGCTTCTTCAAGGCTAACGTACCCATCTTAGCAGTCAAAGCTCAGAAAAGATGAAAGACTTTCTTGCGTACAGCATTAGAAATAAATTATGTACTGAACAAGGACTTGGAGCAATGAACTCTAATCATCACGTGTTACTTATATACTCCCAAGCTCAGAATTAATAATTAATAAACTTAAAAGCAATTGACCTTAATACATTTATCTGTTACACACCCTTAGACAAAAAAAAAAAAAAGTGTTAGCTGTGTACACTTCGGTTTGACTTAACCCAAACCATTTCAAATGCAAGTAAAGATGTATCACCAGTTTAAGTAAGGTGCAGCAGCATTAGCGTACACTGGTCTGGGTTGTGGCAGCCCAAGTCTATTGATATATTTATCAAGAAGGTTGGGAGAAAACCTCAATTGCTTCGGTTTATGATGGAGATTCTGGCCACAAAGCAGAGGCTCTGTTTTGGAAACATGCACAATAACTGGCTATTAACAGGAGTATTACCAGAGAGCGGATCAGGACACCTGAACACTTGTCAGTTAGGGGCACGGGGAGAGGAAAACATTCCCATGCATCTGATTTATTGGTAACACTTTTGTACTTCAAGTAAGATTCCAACTAAACGTGTTACTATTTTTCTTGCAATAAAAATATATTTCACCCTTCTCTTAAGATTAGCTATGCTGCCAGTGCTACAGATAATACCTTTCTGTTAACTGCCCATTATTTGTCTCACAATGAATGCTGTGACAAAAAATGAAATCTGAATTAATCACCACATCACAAAAAGCTATCTTCCCACAGAAACTTCCCTTTTCGTAAATACAAAAAAAAAAATCTGTCTTTAATATGAAATATTTTCTCTCTGAAACATCAGGGTAATCTTGTCCTCCTACACATTTATAAACTTGCTAGAAGCATCCTTCCAATTAACTACAAGTAATGTGAATCTTCTATAAAAACACAGTAGTGCTGCTTTCATTGTCCATTCCACTCAGAGATTAATCTAACTTTGTTTCTAACAAAAAAAAGTAAATGACTCTGAACACATGAAACTGAAATACATTACAGAATCAAACCCATGCCTTACTCGGACAGCTACATTACTTAAGTGCTGTATAAATGCTGCAATATGAGCCAAAGCAGCTTGCCAAAGGCCACGGTTCATCCAGTGATCAAGTTCATTTAAAAAAAAAAAAAGAACGTGTTGACATTGTAAGAAAAATGCTTAATTTTTCTCTGCATTTTTAAATGCATTAAATAATTTATGACGTGGGCTATATGAATTACGTAGTGAATTAATGAAATTTTGCCATCCAGAATACCACTTGATTGACATGGCCATAAAGTAGACTGATGTGATCATAAGCGTGCCCCCAGCACGTCCCACTGCAAACTGCAGACAGGCTAAAAGTCAGTCTTGGTCTCAGCTACCCCAGCTTATTTTCCGAGGGACTTCAGCGCAGGTTTACCGCTAACCATTCTCTCCTGTTCTCTCACAGAGCTCTGTAACTACAATGAAAGCATCTTCTTTCTAACCTATGTTTATCTCCACTGCCTGTCTACCACCCATCACCACCTACTGAATTAGCTAATCTACATGCAGCTCACAGCTTACCAAGGCTCAAAGACCTAAAAAGTCCCTTCTCCAGAGCTGCCTACACTCTTCCCTCTGCCACACTACGCATCCAAGATAAAACTGGTGCCTTGCCTCACCACCTTGGCTATACACACTCTCTCAGGAAGAGGGAGGAAGGACAAAGACCCTCCAGCCCTCCTGGGAAGCCTCCATGCTCCATCCAGACACTATTTGAGGGTGCGGAGACTCGTGCTGCATCAGGCGACTGAGGCGCAAAGCTGCAACAGAGACAAACGCTCGCTCCCCAGCTGCTAAAGCTTTGCTCATGCTTTATAACACAAGTCACCAACGCTACCTCGGAAAACCAGGAGACAGGATCTATCTAGGTCTGCGTCTGCCTCCCACGACTGCAGTTACAGGACTAGCTAGAAAAATCCCAAACAAAAAACTAGCACCGTATTAGAGCACAGGTATCAGCCAACAAAGTGCACGCTGCCAATTGTCCAATGCAGGAGGCCACCCTCACTTTCAAGTCACACCTTCTCATAGTTTAGGGTGATGAGTTTTGACAAGTTTTTCCACAAGCAGAAGTTTCAAGGTTGGTTTACTGAGGAAAAATGAGAAGCTGGACGTGGCAGAGATCTCCTCTTACATGAATTACTGCGCTCTCCCACAAATGACACAGCTACAGCTTTCTTGGGCAGAGGCAACAGAGAAAGTTTCCTCTGATGGATGAAACAAACTTTTTCATCTGTTTTTCTCTGCACTGAGTAGTTTGGAGAGTTTTCTGTTCCACCCTAATTCATCCAATGCCCTGAGATTCGTGTAATTCTCTTTTATTAGTATCTTTCTCTTTTTTAACAGTTGCTTCTGGTTTCCCTTCTACTTCCGCTCTTCTTGAAGTAAGTACAGTGGATATAGAAATACGCAACTTTGTCACGATGTAAACATCTGCTTATTCCTCTGGATGCTCAGGTCCACGCAGAGGCATCCTAGGCTACCTGCAATACACCTTTTTCTTGAACAAAGGAGATGCAAGAGTCTGGTCAACAAAGCAGGATCAACAAGAATGAGCTTCAGGGTAAGCTGAGGTGGTCTGGGCCTGCTCAGACTTGCAGCCCAATGCACGCAACACAGCTCTAGCTCCGTGACGGAGCAAACTTCCCCCTGCCCTTCATCCTTCATCTCCCACCACTGCATAATGCAAAGGCAGAAGGAAAAAAATCGCCAAGGAGAGGACTAAATATGAGATCTATTTACATAACGATCTTCTGTGCTTTTTGTCTTGAATAAACTGGCAAACTGTTATCCAATTTTATCGTTTGGGATGTTTAGGACTGCTAAGATAACTCACGTACAGTGCAAGGCTATTGCACTTCTATTAAACAGCACTGAACCCCCACATAAAGGCTCCATTCAGAGTGAAGCAGCCCCTCACTGGAAGGGGATGCAGCAACCACAATTTAGGGCCATTTAATTCCTGAAAGAGAGCCTCTATACCAGGATCCAATGTCCTTTAATTTAGCCACATTAGCCTCCTACCATTATTGTATTCATCTCAACTTTCCTGTAAATTCCCCTGGAGAAGGGTCCTTAATGAAGAAATCATCTGCCCTAAGGCTATGTAAATGGCTTATATTTACATCACTTTCTTGGCAACACAGGCATGTCAGGCATAAAACACTGTATTTCCCCAAAATGAAGAAAATGTGCTACGACAAGCACCAATGCTGAAAGAGAGCCTTTAGGATGTTGCTAATAGTGTATTTTTCCTGTCAGAATGTGTTGTGTTTTATTTTTGAAGAAAATAATCAAACAACTTTGCACTAAAAATAAAAAAGACAGTTCTGCAATGAAAACAAAGTCAAAAATGAGTTTTCCTGTTTATCTAAAACGTTACCACAGAAAGCCTTATTGTGTGGTTAAATGACATAATTACGCATGATTTCCAAAAAACCACAAAATGGTCAGCATTTTTTCTGCCTGAAAAATACCCACAGAATTTTAGTAAGAATGTCACACTACCGAGGCATTTTTACATCCAGACTGTTTAAATTAATGGTACAGCAGAATACATATGCACAAAATAGAGAAGAAATAAATTGCTTTCACACCACTTAAAGTATCTGAAGACATTAAACTTTCTTGAATTAAGATCTAGATTTATTGTTCTCATTTACTTGGCCCAGCAGTCCCAACTTTATGTATGAAACCAAGTGGGTCTCATTCCTTGCAAAGCACATGCATTTCCCACATCTAAAACAGCTGGCACAGATACGAATATTTGGGATCATATGGCTTAAACACAGTCCTGCTTCTCCAGCAGGAAACCATCTTTTACCCTAAGCAGAAGAATGACTGACTTCCCGCCTGCTCATAGTCTGCATCCTTAAGGCTAAAAGAAATGTGTTATTAACTCTGGTAATTGGACTGCAAGGAGCCTTAAATCACAAATAAGTATTAAACTTTTCTTACAAGACAGAAAATTTAGGAAAACGATGCTTTACAGAGAGGGAAGCTTAAGAAGCGCCAGTGATTCAGCACCCTGGATAAACTAAATTGTGCTCTAAAGGCACAAAATATAACACTGAACAAATCCAGAGAAACTCAACCAGACCTCCAAATTCAATTCTGATTTGGTTTTGGTGGTGACAATAGAAATAATAGCAGAATATTCAAATGTCACGTCTTCATTGCACCTCTAGAGTTTTACATGTAGCTGCAATCCTTAAGTTTTCATTATTTCTTAGTTCACTTTTGGATATAACGCGGCAAGTCTTCAGCGCATTAACTATCATGGAATCTTTATTAAAACAGCTGATCTTTTGCCACCTCCAGCAGTTTTCTATAATCCTTGCAAGATTCAGCTACTGCTGACTTCCCTTTCTCAACTTAGGCAAAAGACCAATTCTAAATACAGAACATATTTCTGAGGTCAGAAACATTTCGATGGCATATTATGAGAAAGGGTCATATTTAAGAACGAGGGTAATCAACACTCAAAGTTAACAACAGAATGACAGTTGTTTTGAAACACTAACTACACTAAAACTAACACTCTACAAAAAATCATTAACTAGACTGAACTAAGGTGAACAGAAGAGATTCTCAACTCACTAAAATAGAAATGCATCAATTTTAAAAGTGAACTTAATCATAGAGTCTAGAATGAAAAAAAGCTGCAGACAGGAAGTAGTGACTTATTTCCCGCTAACGAGGATGCCTTAGTACAGTGTTTTGCTTCTTGCTTGGACACACCTATACCACAAACATTCTTATCTGCTCGATAAATGCAAAACCAATTCCAGTTCAAACACCATTAAAGAAATACTATTGTACAGTACAGAAGTATTTTATGGTTTGGGTTTTTTTTAAAGAAAAACCTAACATAGTTCTTCCTGTTACTGCTAAATAATTTAAGATTCCCCCCCGCCCTTTACATTTCAATTGCCTTCAGAGTAAATCAATTTTAGCATTCGAAGTAGTAATGGACCACGCAGACAGTTGTGAAGCCCTGGTTTGCACAACTCCCGTGCGGCTCATTCTGGAGGCGTCAGCGAGCAGACCCACGCAGCGCTGCTCCGCACAAGGTGGCCGTGGGC